GGCTTTGTGCTGGCTGATCAAAGAGCCAGGGCGACGTGGTTCTTCCACCGCTGGAATATTGAGAGCAACAGGGCTGGGAAAGAAAGGAAAGCAAATGGGATGTTTGGAAGCAACAGTTATCCCTGTCGTCTCAGTGTGTTGYGCTAGGGGTAGTTCCTTTTTGCCCTCCTACCTCTTGTGAAAAGCAGTAACTACTTGCAGCCAATTGGCTGCGAGACAAGTTCTTGAGTGTATAAGAGAAAATGTGATGTATGTTGTTAGTGCTTAAGGATGGTCAAGAAATTTTGGTTCTAGCTCTAATGCTGTCCTTATGAAAGGATTCATTCGGATGCAACTTTATCTGGACTAAAGAGGGATAGTCTCCAACCTGGTGTCAAAACAAACAAATGTAGTCGCTTCAGGGCTCTGCCTGTGTGTGCCTAAAAGGAGAATTTAGCCCGAGGTCCCAAAAAAACAAGCTCTGGATGAGCAATACAGTGTGCGGTCTCTTTTAATAGCAGCAAATGTGCTTTCAAACCCTAAGCTAGGTGAAGCAGTTCATTTTGGCCTTGCTTGGAGAGCTGCTGTTGGTAAGGACGTGAGTGAAGACCCTGTTCTTGGGGCACGGGTCTCTGTGCCCAATGTCTCTGGGATGGCACTCGCCATGCTCGTTAATGTCCAGGGAGTGTGTTGCGTTYCAGGCACTTAAACACACTGAAATCAGAAGCAGAAATACCCCACAGCCTGGAGAAGGACAGAGACTCTTTTAGCCCCCAGAACCAGGAACAAATAGCAGAAGGATGCTGGAGCCTTGGTGTGTCCATCCACTTCCACTGCCTGCAACGCCAGGAAAAGTTTTGCTGGGATGAGCAGCCTCCGCGAGCGACGCGTGGGCGGCTGCAGCAGGGAGCAGCACGAACGCCCTGCGCCGCGGGCAGAGCGGGGCTGGGAGCCACCAGGCAGCCGGGACGTCGGTTTTCATCACTTTCAATGTGTAAACCAGCTCATTGCTGCTGCTGCTGAAGCAAAATTTCTGTTCTAACTCTGAAACATTTAAGGAGAGCAAGAAACTTGCTGCTCCCACTGAGGCTTTCGGGCTCTTTATTTTCTTGTGGCCTCCCTTTTAAGGGTGTCTGTGGCTGCCAGACGGCAGCCCTGCCTGTGTCTGGGCTGCTTTGAAAGCAGCTTTTATTGTGCACAGATAGCAAGTGGCACCAAAATGCCTGGCCCGGAAATTGGGGTTTGGGGACAATTTCTGGGAGTCTTTCCTGGGACTTGCTCAGAGCTAATGCTGGAGCATAGAGGGGACAACAGGAGCTGCTAGGAGATATCTGCTCTGCTACAGTCAACTCTGCTGTATTTTGCTTTTGCTTGTCTGGATTTTCAACTCTTTGCTGATGCTTTGGTCAGCTGGTTTGTGGGAAAGGGTTTGTTGCCTTAGTCCGTCCTCTGGAGTATTAAAGCAGGCTCCAGTGAGAGCTGCTGTGTGCGCAGCAGGGGCCTGTGCGGGATGCAGGGGCCCAGGCAGGTACCCCTTTCCCTGCTGCTAAAATCTGCTGCAATAACCCCGCGGCTGCCGAGCAGTTTCCCTAATGCCCTCTGCTTCCTTGGGCTCCTGCACGAGGCACAGTGGGATAGGGGGAAGAAGTCCTTAAATATCCCTTTTGGCATCTATGAGGGGGAAGAAATGGGTTGGTGTATTATCTGTTAACTGCAAGAAGCAGTGTGACATGACCTCTGTGATGGCTGAGTTAGAGTTGATTTTTCTTTTTAGTAAATTGAGTTATTTTGGCAGAGAAAAAGCTGATGTAACTGGCTAAGAACAGCAGCGTTCCTTTTAGTGGTGGAGGAGGAACAGAGGCTTGGAGAGGCCTTTGGCTGATTGATTTGCCACCAAATGGGGCTTTCTTACCAAAAGATGCTCTCGGGTGCCTGGCTTTGAAATGGTTGCAGGAGGCGGTAACTCATCTGGGTCATTCAACCGATTAACCTTCACAAATGTCTTGCCCGTGGCCCATCTTCCACGGGGAGAAACCTTCCTTCCCCCCTCTTTCTGCTGCAAAATTTCAATCTCTTGCTAAATCCGTATTTCAGTAAATAACTAACTGTCTGGGAATGAAGCGTCAGGCTCCTCTGCCAGCCCATTCCCTGCTCACTCTGGAGGCAACGGGGAAGCCCATTTTAAAGGTGCTGATTCTTCTTAATAATCCCCATTAGCGAGAACTCACTTACAGCTGATACTGATCTAAACTGTTGTCAGTGAGATGAATTAGGAGCAGGGGGCTAGGAGAGAGCCTTGTTTATCTGCTGTTTTCCTGCCGGACTCTCAAGAACACTGAACTATTCAGGCAGTTCCTGCCAGCACCGAATCTCCGTTTTCTCACTCCATGGAGTAACTTTCTGAGCATGAACTTACTGAGCTAAGGACCAGTTCTAGCTGCAGAGAAACTTCAGGAATTGCAGGGGCATTTTCTAGGGGGGAAAAAAATTACCTCGAATTCTGAAAAAATGCTGAAGATGGGAGATTTGATATCAGTCCCCTACAGCTGCTGGGATTGCTCATTATTTAGTTTGTTACTTTAAAAAATGGGTAAATTCTAGAGAGTCTGTACAAAGCTGCTGTACTGTCTGAGAGGACAAGTGGTGCTGAGCCCCACTTGTTCCTGGTGTCTTATCTGTGGTTGATAACACTGAGCTTTTTTTTTTTTTTTAATATATATATAAATATATATATATATAAAGTGGTCTAGAGCAGAGACCCTAATGTCAGTGGAGAGCTGTGTTAATCGAAGGAGCTGAGGGAAGGACAGTAAGGCCAGCTTTGCAGGTATCCTAATCCTAACATCTAACGAATGCTCACATCTTTCCCAAACCTCCTAGCAAGWCCTCGCATCCTGGGAGGACGTGTTCCCTAGGGCAGGATCAGTATCCGATGCTTGTCCATGGTGGTCCAGAGCCGGGGCTGAGGAGCGCGGGCGCTGCCGCCCCCAGGTTTTGGTGCCTTGGGGAGCCCCGGCCATGCGGGGAGCGCGGTGGCCTCGGCGGCTCCCGGGGGCCTCCTCCTGCAGCGGCCGCGGGGCCGGGCCCGTGGGCACAGCAAGAGCAGCCGCCTGCGTGTAGTTCCCGCTCTGTTTCCCTCTCCATTTCCCTCGCTTTTCCCCTTAAGCCGCCCAATGTGAGGCCTGTAGTTGCCCCCCTCGTGMTCGTGTTCGGCCAGCTGCAGTTGTGTCTGAATCGACTCAAACGCTCCGGCTGCTCTTCCGAGTCCCTCTTATCCCGCCGAGCATCTGCTCAGGCTGCAGTTCCCACAGGAGCGGCAGGCATGGGGAGGAGGGGAGCGTGAGCCGCATTTCGGCAGGGTTTTGGGGCACGCTGATCCCTGGCATGACTGGTTATAGCACCCAAGTGTTTGGGTCTGGGTCCTGGCCTTGGCTACCCTTGTGGAGTAACCCCCAGCCTAAGTGCTGCTGGGCAGGCAGATTCCCTGGGAGCTGCACATGCAAGATCTTATGGAGGAAAAATAGGATGGGGAGAAAAAGTGGTGGCATCTGGGAACAGGGAAAGGATTTTCAGARTATATTGGAGTGAGGAGGTGCTGAGCTGCTGTGTGGTGTTATTTCTGTCCYGGCTGCTTGAGGATTATGGTGCAGTTTATCCCAAGTGAACACTTACCATGGGACTCTAGTCCAGGCTGCCTTCTGAGCACAAATGGTGCCAGTTTAGCTAATCCCAACACCTCCCCTCATGCTAGCTCRGGCTTTGCTGTTTTCTGAGGGTCCCTGTGTGCAGCCAGGATTTCCATGTACGGAGACGGGGAGGAGGTGGGAGCTCCTCATCCATGCAGCTCAACCCGCTGGGGGGGACTGGTCCCTCGGGAAGGAGGATGGAGGCCCGGGATGGCTCTGGCTCCCCGCGCCTTTCCTGCCATGTCCCAGGGCCACAGCCACCCTGGCTCCAGCCCTGTTTACTGATGGGGCCGATAGGGCTGAGGCGGGAGAGGTGGCAGGATCCCCCATCGCCTTATCAGCCTCTCAGACACTGGGAGGATGTTTTGACTGTGCTGAATTACGGTGTTTGTTGTTCCTCGCTCCCAATAAGTGACACTTGATAGCGACTACTGTAAAAAAGCAGCTTCTCCCACCCACTCGCCTCGCTGCGTGGGGGAGAAACGGGCCCGGGCCGCAGCTCCCTGCCCCGCGCGCCGGGAAAGCAGCTCTGGACTCGGGATGTATGTGAGCAGAGATCCCCATTAAAAATGCCAGCGTCCCTGGCACACTGCGGAAGGGGAATGGGACAAATTCGGGTGGGGGTTAAAAAGAAAATGGAAAAGAAGCAAAACCCCCTGAGACTCCGGGCGCGCGGGAGGGCCCCGTGTGCGGAAGGAAGGCGAGGGAGCCGCGCGCTTTTCTGCCACTCTCTTTAATGCCAAAAGCCGCCGGCGGGGCGGGAGCGGAGCCGCCCGTGCCCCTCTGCGCTGCCCCGGGGCAGCCCCGGGCGCGGCGGGGGCCGCCGGGTCCCTCCCTGCTCCGGAGGCAGCAGCGCGCGGGGAGGGACCGAGGGGCCGCGAGTCGTAGCGGGCCGGGCAGCAGTGACCGTAGGGAAGTGCAAACATTACACGTGAAGCTCGACAATAATTATTAGAGTAGTAGAAAACAAACAAAACAAAAAGGAGTAAAAGTCCGCAGGGCTTGGCTTGCGCTGGGCGGTTATTCGGAACGAGGTTAGCAACACGAGCGGATGCGTTGGAAAGGGGAAGAAAAAAAAGCGGGGGAAAAAAAAGAGAGAGAAAAGAAGAGGGGAGGGAAGGGGAAAAGAAAAGAGGGGAAAAAAAAAAAAAAAAAAAAAAGGAAATACAGGGGCAAAGACCCCGTGCAAGGGGGTGTCGAAGGGGCCGATTCCCTCAGCGCCGAGTTCCGCCTCGCCCCGGCCCGCCCGGAGCGGAGCCGCCGCGCGAACCGCCCCGCTCCTCTCCGCTCCGTTCGGCGCGGATGTCCCCGCGGCGCGCGCGTGTCCCCGCGGCCCTACCAGGCGCGGATGCCGTGCAGCGTGGGCAGCCCCGCGCCGCCCTGCGCCAGCGGCGCCTGCACCGAATTCAAGTCCCCGACGCCCAAGTTCACGAAGCCGTTGGCGGCCGGCGCGGGCTGCACGCCCTGCACGGACGGGTAGCTGCAGTTGTAGTTGCCGTTGCAGGAAGGGCTGTTGTAGCCGGGGTAGGCAGGGTAGGCGTTGTAGCTGTAGGGGCTGATGCTCACGTTGTAGGGCGAGCTGTAGGCAGAGGCGTCCCCCAGGCAGGGCTTCCCGTCGCGCACCAGCACGGGCACCGCTATGCGCCGCGGCGGCGGCATCCCCACCAGCTCCAGCGTCTGGTCCTGCCTCTGCCTTTTGCACTTGTACCTTCTGTTCTGGAACCAAATTTTCACTTGCGTCGAGGTGAGCTTTAGGACATTTGCCAGATGGTCTCTCTCCGGCGCCGAGAGGTACTTCTGCTGCTTGAACCTCCTCTCCAGTTCGTAGACCTGAGCTTGAGAGAAGAGCACGCGCGGTTTCCTCCTCTTCCTCTGCCTGGGCCGCTCGGCATCGTCCAGCTCGCTCTTCTGCTCAAGGCTCCTGTGCAGCGAGCACAGCTCTGCAGCGAAATAAGTGCGCAAGGGGAAAGGAAGGTTCAAAATGATATAATATAAAATATCCCTTCCCCTAAAAGAAACCAGTGGCTGTGATCCGTGCGCCCGGTCACTGAGCGCTGCCCTCAGCATTTTGGGCCGCGGCCCCGCCGCGTTCCTCGCTGCTCCCTCGGCAGCGATTTCCCTCCGCTCTGTTTTCCGCCGGTGCCTGCTCCGAGCCCGCTCCCTTCGCCACAGCCTGGGGCACGCGGCCTGGCGCTGCCCGCCCTGCTCCGAGAAACGCGGATTGTTGCCCTGTCCCGCCCGGGCCCCGTCGGTGCCTTTCGGGACGTGTCCCCGGCCCGGGGAACAGGCCGGCAGCGGGGACGCTTCTCTCCATCTCTAGCCTGTCCCCGGCCTATTCCCACCGCTGCTACCAGCGGGGCCGGGAGGGGATGAAGGCGCCTTCCCTCACCCCACTCCTTCTGCCCGGCCGAGCTGTCGCCAGGGCCCGAGGCTGCTCCAGGTCCTTTCAGTGCACTCGCTCCTTCCGCACCTTCCTCCATCCCTCCTGAGCGGCGCCGCGCGTTTTACCTTTCTTGTCCAGCGCGGGCTCCTTGGCCGGACCCATCTCCACGTAGCTCTTGGCGTAGCAGGCGCCGGGGAAGGCGCTGCGGGGCAGGGGCTGCGGCTCGGCCAGCGGCTCGGCCAGGGCCTCGGCGCCGCAGCTCTCCTGCTTGCAGGCGGCGAGCAGGCAGGAGGGCGAGCCGAGCGGCGGCAGCTCCATGGGCGCCAGCCCGCCCTGCTGCTGCTGCTCCAGGTTCAGGATGTCCTTGACCGAGAAGGGGGTGCTGGTCACGGGGCTCGGGAACATCGCGGGGCCCGCGCGCGTGGCCGGGGGGACGAGGCGCGGAGCGGAGCCGGCGCTGGCCGGGGGGGCGCATAGCAGCCCCCGAGGAGCCCCCGCGTGTGCGCGGCGCGCAGGTAGCGGCGGAGCATAAGGGAGGGGAAGGAGGGACTAGGCACTTTTGGGGGGACTTTAGCTTTCGATTGGCCAACATTGCAGTGATGGTGGGAGAGATGCAAAGTTGCGTGTCACCTAATATAGTAATACATGTCCAAAACATCCCCGTGCATTTAAAGGGGCGGCACTCTATTTATCCAGCTTTCCCCGCTGAGTTTTGTTGATCCATTTAAAAAAAAATATGCAGAATGGCCCAGTGTGTACAAAGCCACTATCTGATGCCATCTATCATACAGTCAGATTAAATAAACAGGCCGGGAAGAAACCGTCAGCCAAATATGTGCTGATTTCTTTCTTTTTTTAACGAAAAGAAGCAGAGGTTTCGTTTTTAGTGGTCTGCRATATCTGATCGTAGGAACCAAAAAACGGGGCTTCTCGGCGGCGTGAAGGGCGTTCACGGAGAAAACGGCACTTGGGGTTTAAACGCCTAGTTTGATGCGGCGCCTGCAAAAGCCTAATGGGAGACGGGTCCATACGGAGCCTCCGCCCGGGTTTTGGGGCGGATGTTGATGGGTTTAATTGAAAACTTCGCAAAGAGAGATGCGGGAGCGGGGGGGACACGGGTGTCTGCGAAGCCCCCACGTTGGAGGCGTCGCGAACAGGGGCGGCTGCTGCGGGCGCCGGGGGAGCCCCGGGACGGGCCCCTCGCCCGCTCGCGGRGGCTCCTTCATTTAACGCGCCCAGAGTCGCTAAAATCAGCTCGAGCGGCCACGTCCCGCGCTGAGGAGGGGCGGCGCGGTGCATTCTGCCTTGGGGAGGGAGACGGACGACAAAAAATCCCCCTTGAGCGACTTCTGCGGTTCGGAGCGGCCGGCTGCGAAGGGCACGGGGGGTCCCCCTGTGCGCCCCGCGAGGCCCATAGCAGATAAGGAGAGGGACGGGGCTCGGGGGGAGCCGGAACAGAAAAGTCCTCCATGGATGCGGTGAGTTGGCGCGTCCTCGGCCGGGCTGCAGGGAGCTCGGAGCCCTTCGTGGCTGTGTTGCGGCCGGGGGCAGCGCGTGCTTCACCCCTCCCCGGGGGGAAGAAACAAAAATCCCCCGAGGCCCGGGTAAAAACCCAGGTCCGCGGCCTCGCTGGGGGTAGCGGCAGAGCCGGGCAGCCCCTCGGGGCTCAACTTGGCCCCGGGGAGACTCGGACTTGCTCCCGGCTGGGGAGTTAGGGATTTCGACTGGCGTTGTCTGGACCGGGGGCCGTAGCCGCATTCGAGCCTTTTGGAAACTCCCGCTGCCAACGCTGCGGGGTCCGGGGGCTTCTCTGCTGGCGAATCGGAGCCGGATCTTAGGATGACAGTTGGAGCGATTAGTGTGCGCGGGGCGGCCTGAAATATTGCGGTTTAATGAGGAGAGGCGGCCCTGGCGGCCGCGTTGTCCGTGCAGCGGCTCGGGAGCGCGGGCATAATATAGTAAATAATTATATATTATTGTAATATACATTATACAATACTTATTTAATATTAATRTTGTTATTTAATATTAATAGAATATTATTATAAAATATGTATTGTATTATATAATATACGATTATATAATATAATAGCAATTATGTACTATATTTATATAGAGAACATGTATATTCTGCTGGCTCGCGTTGCCGGTGCATTCTGTGCGGAAGGGAGCGCTCCCTTCGCCCAGCCTGGGTTTTAGCTCCTGTCCCCGATGCCCAAAACGCCTTTCCCGGGAAAAGCCCGGAGCGGGCGAGGCCCAGGGCGATTCCGGGACGCGATCCCGACTGGGGAGCGGGAGCCGCCGGGACACATCGGTCCCCGTTACAACGCGAGGGGCTTCCCGCGGATCCCGAGCCTCGCGGCCGCTCATTCYGCAGAGGGGGAAGTGATTAATTGAGCGATAAGACGGGACTATCATTTGGAATGTCATTAATGCGCCGGGGAGACATTCATGGGAGACAGACGCCGTTATCTCCGCTTTATCTTCAACACTGCATCACTTTTAATACTGCAGTTTAGAAACAAATGGGGGCTTCAGCCTCAGCCCTTCTCCGCGTGTTTATATTTTTGGAAGAATCGCAACTAGTGGGAGTCCCGGCCTCGGCCTCCTGATAAATGAACATTAGCACTTTTTAGAACTACTGTATCAACAAAAAGAGCTGCAGGGCCGCAATAATTGGTGAAAAAGCAAACACTCCGCGAAGAGAGGCCGGCTCTGCTCTGTGTCCGGCTGATTGATGAATAAGTCAGTGACACGGAGCAGCCCGCGGGCCCTGCGGGTCGGGGCTTGGCCCCCCCGTCCCTTCCGCACCGGCTCCGAGCCCCGCGGATCGGCTGCAAACGGGGGCGTTTGGGCTCCCAGGGGGGCTTTCGATTAGGAGTGAAATTAGAATCGGGTCTTAACGACCCTCAGGGCGCCCGCTACCTGCGCGGGGCTCAGCCGCGCTCTGGAGTGCGCGGATTTTCACATCCTCTTCGTTGCTTTTCGCCCGAGTCGTTAAATGCGATTAAAAAAAAAAAAAAAAAAAAAAAGTTTGTTTATATCCTAAGAGATCATGGATGGAGCATAAAAAATGGATAACGAAAAAAAAAAAAAAAAAAAAAAAAAGGGGGGGGGGGAAGGGCTTTTCTCGCTGAAAACCAACCTGCCCCTCAATTAGCCGCGGAGCGCACATCCTCCCCCCTGAGATTTCGACACCTCGGACTGTTTAGAGAGAGGGAGATGGAGCCTTTTAAAAAGTTCTGCTCTTAATCCCGACCGGTTAACATGTGCGGGGCTGCCTCCTGCTCTAATTCCCGGCTATCTCCCGGGGACTCTGTTTATGCCTCCCCGGTAAACGGCGGGGTTTGAAACCCTGTCACTAATTGAGTGCTAACACTTCAGGTGCTATAGATTTGCTAAGAGCCGGTAGTCCCGAAATAACCTATTAGGGTTTTCCTGGAGCGCCTTGGTGCCAATCTCCCATTCCCGTCGCGGGCGGCAGGAGCCACCGGCACCCCGGGACTTCTGCGCATCCCCGGGGGGGCTCGGGCACCGTTCTCCGCCTAACTGGTGTCTAAGCACGAGCGCAGRTTGCGAAGGGGTTTCTGAGAAAGGGCGACTTGAGCAGCTCGCTCGTCTCGCGGTGTCGCCTGCGGGTCCCTCGCGGTGGCCGCGGCTGTCGAGGGGCTCCCCGCTCCCTTTCTGGCCCGGGGAAGCGGCCCTGGAGCTGTCCAGGCACCTTATTCCGCCGCAGCTAAAATATATCTTTTCTTGCTATATGTTTTGGGCTTTTTGTCMTTATTTTTGGCTCTAGCGATCAGCCCTCGCCCGCAGCAGCCCGTCCGTGCAGCCCCACTCCACGCTCCCGCCTCGGGGAATTTTGACCTTGGCGGTCCAGGCGGGGAGAGGGAACGGGGGGCGGAATCCGACCGGCTCCTGCCCGGACAGCGATGGAGATTTTTCCTTTTCTTTTCTCACTTTTTTTTTTTTTTTTCCCCTCCTGGCGGAAGCTAAAGCTGGGAGCGAGTCACATAAATCCGTTTATTTTTATTTTATTTTTTTTTTGAATTCTAAATTTCCTTTATTTAAAACCTCTTATTTAAAACCTTCTTTTTTCTGCCCGTGCTGGATTCACAGAGCTGCTGCCGCGTCCTCCCGCCCGTGTCTGGGCACTCACGCAGCCCCCGCGATTTTAGCGCCTTCTCTGGGATACGCTGCGAGTTTCTGCTCGAGAAGCAGCGTTTCTAACGTGGCCAGATCGCTACCAAAGGTCTTATTCGTTAGGGCTCGAGGAGGGCCGCACAGCGCGCASAGCAGCGCGGTTATTTTAAGGACAAGAAAATGAAACGCACGAAGAGATTCCGGTCTTAAGCAAACGCGGCAGCGGCTTGAGCCCAAGTGCGGCACCCGGGACATAGCGGAGTCTGTCGCTGCCCGAGGAGAGGGCCTTAAATGCCAAATACCCGCCAGGCGCGCGCGGGAAGGGGGCGAATGGAGCTACCGAGCCGGGACCCCGGSGGCCGTGAAATCGGCGGCCGAAAGGGCAAGAGCGGAGGGGAGTCTCGGCCGCTCTTCTGCGAAATCCCCTTCCCAAGGGAACAGAGAAAGAAAAAAAACAAAAAACAAACAAGCAAACAAAAAAGCTAAAAACAAAACCGAAGGGAACAGAATAACGGGTGTGGGGGGGTAAGGAATCAAAAATTAAACAGAACAAACAAGCAAACAACTACATCAAATCCTCCCTAAACCCAGACCCCTTTTTCGCGCTTTCATTTTTGCCCGGGTCCCGAGGGCGGCACCTGCCCCTGCCCTCCCGCGGCAGGATCGGGCCCCTCCGCCCTTGTTTCCGCGGGGAGCGGAACGATCCGTCGTTCGTTCCTGCGGGAATGCGACAGGGAATGGGTCGTTTTCCTATAGGAGGGGGGTCCGGTTTCTGCTCCTCTCCTACAAGCAGTAAAACTATAATTCCGAGTCTTTCCCCTACTTTTTTTTTCTTCCTTTTTATTTTATTCTTTTTTTCTTGCAAAGATAGTAACGACTGGGAAGCCGTTCGCAAGAAAATAAAATACCTGAGATAGAAACTGCCGAGTGCATGCGTTTGGGGAGGAGTTTTTGTAGCGCTGATGAATACAGAGTTCACCGAAGTTAAAATACGCTATATTTAAAGAGTGTGTCGAGAAAAAAAAAAAATAAGATGGAAAGAAACGAAAATCTTGCAAAAGCGTTATTTTTTTCTTTTTCTTTCTTTTTTTTTTCCGGATAGAATTTCCCGGGTTGTGCTGCCCTCAGAGGCGCGGGTTTATGTTTCAAGCGCCGTGAACCGCGTTTCGAGGGAGCGTCGCGCAGGTCACCGGGGCCGCGGTCGCTCCMGCCTTGGGTCTCTCGGACCGCAGGGCAGGGGACGAGAGCAGCCGGCCCGAAAC